GCTGAGAAAAAGAGAGAGGAATTGGCTCAAGGACCATGCCAGGGGCAGTCAGGTTTCAGGTCTGCAGTGATAGCCTGTTTTTTTGGGGAGACAGGAGGAGTTGGGAGGTTTGAGTGTCTGGTGAGTGCTGAATCTGGCACTCTGGCACTCCCTGGCACTCTGAGACCAGAATCTTTTACCTGATGATAAAAACGAAGGCAGAATACAAAAATGAGCCAACAAAAAAAAAAAAAAAAGGAAGAAAAAAAAAGAAAAAATGCCAAACAAAAATACAAACAAGGAAAAAAAAAAGGCAAGACAACCACATAAAATATAAAAACTCAGTGAAAATAAGACAACATAGGAAAAAACTCACCGTTCCGAAAAATGCCGTTCTATATGGATGGATGGATGAGTGGATGGACAGATACACAGACAGGTCGCACCTGCCCTGTCATCTAACCACGTTTGTAAGGAGCACACTTTACAGGGGGAGGTTTAGCACCGAACGCACGCCCTTTTTCCCAGCCTTGCCACATAATGCTCAAAAGAATTCATTTTACAGGTGAGAGCAGAGGGCTGTTTGGGATGCTGCTAGCCTATTGAACACACTTTGTGATGCACACAAACAGATCTGTCCAAAAGCAGGAGTCACTGCTCAGTTCCTAAGCCCCTGATCCAGAGAAAGCCCCTGGGAACCCTGAGAAAGACAGCTAGGAGGAGCGTCTGGCTATTACAGGGCTCGTCACAAAGGAACAGTGTGAAGAGAGAAATATAAACGTGTTTTTATCTTCCTCTATTATAGCTTTTCTTGTCGGTGGGCTTTGTAAGATATGACCCCAGGCCAGTTTGCTGCAGCAGTTAAAGGGAGTTTCCAGGCGTCCCAGCTGGATGCCATGCGTCACATCAGGATACATGCAGATAATAAGAGACATGCGCTACTCTTTCTACAAAAGAGCATTCAAACCTGCTAATATCCTTCCTGGCTTCCGTGACCAATGCTAGTGCTTGTGCCACATGTGGCCGATACTTTTCAGCTCTCTTCTGCTCCTGTACTGAAGGGCCTGGCACAGCTTCCGCGTCTGTTGGGAGTTATGGAGGTGCATTTTATGCGTGTGGTTTTTCACCCTCCTTTTGCAGTATTTATCTTATGAGAAGCCTGGTTATTTTCTGGATGCCTTCTGAGATTAATGTTCTGGAGCTTTTGAGAAAAGCTATCCTCTGCTGATCATCTCCTTGATCAATTTAACACAGATGTTTCACTGGATGTGGAATCATAGCTTCAAAGCATCACCTGAAAATACAGTTTCAGCAGGCCCAGAGACTGCTCCTCTGTCCAGTTTCTATTTCATATCCATTCACAGAGGAAACGTATAGTCATAGTCTTAATAACAGAATTCAATAAATGCTTCAGGTGAAGAGAATAGTAATAAAACAGAGAGAAACCATAGAATGCCATGGCCCGTATATGAAATAATATTGAAAATACTATTGAAAATAACTAGTTTTGGATGCAAAATCACCACTTGGCTGGTAAAAAAGGACATTTACTGCAACATAAAGAAAAACCATAAATGTTTCCTTGATCATACTGATTAGTATCTGATATCAAACGGTAGTTCACAAGAACAAGGGTGGCAAAACCTGGCCAATATGCATATATCTATTTGTGTTCACTGTGTCACCCATCATAAGCATGCCTGTGCTATATGAAGAGTTGCATTTTGAATTCCAGAGGCTATGACAACAGCCCATTATAGAAAAAAGGAAATTTAGCCATCTTCTGTTATCCTAGACATTAATACTACAAGTAAGAAAACAACGTGGTGTTGGCTACTTTTGTTAAAGGAGGTTGTTGCTGGTTTTTTATCAAACCTTGTGGTGGCATAAAGAATTAGAAACTTCGAATTGCCAGATAGATATTATGCCCCATGTTTCATTTTACACATCACTTTTTGATGCTGCTTTTACAGAGGAAAAGAGTGACAAACCTGAGATCACAGAAAATGAAAGCTAGGCCTTCTCCTGAGAGAGGTATTACACCAAGGTCACTTGTGGTTATTACACTCCCGAGATACCACTTGGCTACCATGATTAATTTACAGTGACATCAGGTCACCAAATGAAGGTTACCAATTCGCAAATAATCACGGGGTAACAGAGTCATCCATTTGGCGTTCTGGAAGGGTGCACTTGGATTGTTGCTGATCCTGTACGAAGAATGGTTTTAATCTAGCCACATCAGGTAGAAAGCAAGTGCTGTGGAAATGGGAAAACATTTATTAGGTGGATGAATCTATTTTTTAAAAAAAACCCTTATTTTAAAAAAAAAATAATAGCTACTTCAGACAAAGTGCCTTTTAGAGAGATGCCTAACAGGATTTCCCCATCATATCTGTATTCACGAAAGAACTTGAATATAATTTTATGTTTAAAGAATTGATGTCTTCTGCCAAATGCAGAGACAGATTTTTTAAATATATTTAGGATCTAAAAAACACCATTAAGACCAAAATTAAAAGTTTAGTTCTTTCACTACATGACAGCTTATAACTTCTTCATTAATAGATGTTCTCCAGAAATTAAGGAATTTTCCCAGGAATGGTGGAATTCAGGCTTTAGGATTTAAACCAAATGCAAGGTATTAGGCTTTGAATAAGTAACTTTTACTGAAGTGAGAACAGTAACCAGCAAGGCTTGCAATGAGAGTGAGTTGAATGTCCTTTACCTGGAGGTAGGCAAAGATAACCATTTAGCACCACTAGTGAAAGTGTGAATAAACCACTTCATGGTAAGTGCAAAAGCTGCCTATTCTTAATTGATGTTTCCAGTTTATTTTTTCAGCTTCTTCCTTCCAACAAACTGGCAAGTGAGCTATTTTCTCCTTCTCCTTCTGTCTCCTCAAACTTTTTTCCAAGATGGAGCAAAAAAAGAGAAAACCTGAAAATATCCTATGGGGATTACCTCCTGAGCAAACAGAATCAGATGAGGTGATCTAGTTAGCCAAACAAGCCAATTTTCCACTGCACTTATCTTTCTGAACCAGATGTGACTGCCTACCCCCAGCCCAGCCTGAGTAAGCCTGTGCTGTATTTTGTACCCTATTGCCTACAATTCTGTGCACCTGGAAAAACTCCAGGACTACCTAGGTGGGATGCTCCAGTCGTACTGTAAGCAGCTGCTGCGGCAGCAAAATATGGTGAATGCTGCCCTTTAAGGGAGATGTCTTTTAAAAAAAACAGAAGATTCCTCCTTTTTTGTTGTTTTTTCATAGCTACGGCCTTTATATCAATGACCTGAAAGATTCATCAGTCATTTTTAGCCTTACAAAAAAAAAAAAAAAAAAAAAAAAATAAGACACGCTGGAACATTAACTGGATATTAAAAAAAAAAAAAAAAAAAAGTGGTTTTAAATAGGCTGTGTGGTGCTTGGCTATGATGTGCCAAAACACATCTTTGTGTTGTCTGGTGACACAAGCAAGAATTGGGGAAAGGCTAAGAGGAACAGAAAGCATTAATATTTTAGAAAACAATGTAAATTACACTAAAATCCTGACATAGCTGAGCAAGGAGCAAACAGCAGAAAACAAACAGTGTTGTTCAGCTTCCCTATACTCAGAGGGCTAAGAACGCTGATTTTATTTTTTGCTGGGAGAATGCAAAGAAGAGACACTGATTCAGGTTGGCACTTCTCTTCTTTTCATTTATAATGGGCACAGAGTTCTTGTAATGGCCGGGTGTACAAAGAGATCATTAATGTGAGCAGAAGCAGCAGCAAAGCTTAAAATTCACAGGGGTGTCTCCACTTACAGAACTGCAGGAAAAGCAGCTGTGTTCAACAACTTTGCCTAGCCAGCAACAAATCTTCTGTCAAAAAGCTGTCCCAAGACGTGGCTTCCTATTCAGTGTGATTTAACCCTACCTCCCACACATCAAAAAGCTTTTGTCAGAACATGTGCTGGGCTGTCTCTCAGAGGTTGTCACTCATGAAACACCTTGGGCTGCATGTTCCCGTATCTGTACCTGTCCTTTCAAGAAAGGAAAACAATTCAAAGATATTTACATTCAATATAGGCTTTTCTGCCTTTTTCTTTTCCCCTCCCTGAGGAAGCAGGTGAGCTAGTTCAGTAATGAGGGCGGAATCCAGCTTCACATCCAGACACGTAAATTCATGCATTTAAATATAGATGCCTGTGGGTGAGACAATAAGGAGTCATTTGTGTTGCCCAAGTGACAGTAGTGTCATTTGAGACTCTCTGGCATGTCTTAGATGAGTGTGACACAGAACACTACCTCCCATCTGGCAGACCAGAGCCTGGGCAAGAACTACTAGAGCATTTTAAAAACCACCAGTGTTAAGGTGCCTGAAAGGAGCCCCAATATCCTGTCAGTGTAGTCAGTGAGGCACTTTTCAACTGCCTAAACACACTTATCTACTGATACGTGAGATGGTCTGAATAGTCAAGACATCTTCATGGAGCTGGCAAATAAGATACTGGACGTACAGGGTATTCAAACCTTACTGGAGTGGCAGCAGGACACCAAGCATTGTGTCCTTTGGTGGCTAAAGTGGCACTCAAGACTTCGTTCCGCTGCGTATAGAAAGACACCTAATATAATTTTAGATACCCCAGATATACAAGATCTCCACCTCAAGCCCGCAGATATGATGCAGGACCTATGGGAAAGCCACACCTTTCAGGGCTAGTAAGGAGGAGGAATAACCAAGAGCATTCAAATGGCACCAGATGTCTGTGTTTGTGCAACTAAATCCCAGCAGATGAAATCTAATGAAGTAGTCATCTGGCCAAAGGCACGTGGGACTACAACAGCTGTCTCTGTTCCACTGACAAATAAACTCCTGACTAGTTTTGACTAGATCTTGTGTCAAGTAGATCTGGCGAGAGTGGGACTCTGCTCATATGCAGACACTTGCATTTAGACTTACAAGTTTTGGCATCTATATAAGCCTAAAGGTGAAGCCTCAGCCACTCTAATTCTTTTGCTTTTATGCCCTAGATGCCAGGAGGCTCATTTGCCTGGGAATTTAAGTATCCACCTAACCTTTAGGCAATCATAGATTAGTGGATTTCTTGTGACCCACATCCCGCAGGGCTCCCTTATGCATCCAGGTGAGGTGCACCGGGCCTTTCTCCTGAGAAGTTAACCCCTCCAGGCCAGGAATGCTTTGGGGATCACCAGATCCTGAAACAGGTACTAGGGTACGTGTGACAGATTGACTGAGTCACTTCCTACGACTGAATGGGCTGTCTCTTTTAAAGTTAGATAGTCTTCAGAAGGACACCAGATCTGCACTGTGATCAGTGCAGAATATGGACTTTGGTAAAAAGCACACACCAGAGCACTCTCTAACTGCTTTAAATCTCCAAACTAACTCCTATTCTCTCTGTATGAAAAGCTTACTGAGAAGTCAGTACATTCTTCTTTTATTATTGACGATAAGACAAGATGAAATCAAACGTAAATCAGTCAAAGAAAACCTGTGAGCTGCCGTTCAGAGCTAGCCACAGCTTCTCACGGATGGCTTGCAATAAAGAGCAGCTAACCCTTCATAAACAAGGAAAGCAATCCGCATGAATGCTCAGCAATTTCAGATCACTTCTATGGCCATTGTCATGGACAAGATACCAAGCAAGATGGACATCCTCTCTGAGCCAGCAGGGCAATTCTTACAGTCTTACTTTTTTTAATCAACTGCACCTTGAAATCCCTGATTTACTTCCAGGCTGAGTAATTTATCTACAGCAGCCATTTCATTTGTAGAGACGTGTGACAGATGGAGGTGCTGTTCCTTTGCAGCCCAGAGCTTCCCTGTGTGCCAAGGTCTCCATCCTGCTGCCTCCAGGCAGCTCTGCAGAATTATTTCCAATTGCTATCTTTGGTGATTCATAACACTGCAGTCTGCAGTCCTCCGTCATATGGGGGGTGACTCGGTGTTCTCACCATAGTTAAGCCTGTACCACAGGAGTCTGGATGGGATCCCTACAGCATTGTTATTTCTTGTTATGGTTCTAGTGAAACAACAGGACATGCGGTTTGAGGCTGGGTATTTTTGGCAGTCATGTTTTTGTTCTTATGTGTTCACACTCCCCCAGGATTATTCTCATGTAAGCTTTCAAAGGCCACTGATGACAAATGAGTCTCATCTTGCAAAGCGAGTACCTATTATGATGAGACTGAACCCTTCCTTCGTGCAGCAAAGCAGTCATCATTTTGTGAAACTCCAGAAGCAGTACAAAATCTATTTTCCCTTAATCATGACTTCAGCAGAGAAAGTCCTTCCTTCTCCCTTGCTTTCAGATTTATTTTTAAGGAATATATTTATTTTCCAGACCAATATGAACATAAAACTGGCACCAGAGCCACATTTGAATGTTGGTAGAGAATTGGTCTGGCACAAAGGAGAGTAAAGTAAATTACTCTTAAACTGTATTTGGTACCAGGCATCATGAAAGTTTGCCACTAGTAAGCTAGACTGTGCTATCGTTACCGGCTGAGCACATACCCACACAAGGAGCCCCACAAGCATCGGTAGCCTGGTATGCAAACTAATTACAAAATAGATCACATCATGATAAAGAACATCAACAAAGGGTAGATCTGCCCCAAATCCCTTGCAGTCTAAATATGAGACAAATATGGTAGGTAAATAAAGACAGACAAGGGAGAACAGAGAAGCAGTGATACACTATTTTCTCAGGATACCATGCCAGCACAGAGAAATAATGTCAGCCCTTTATCAGCCTAGCAGCTGTAAAACTCACAGATAATTTTTAACAGATATTCAAAGTAGGAAAGAAGGTAGTTTTGCAGATGCCTATAAGGAGAACTTCCCGAGAGCAAAGAGCAGCAGGGGACAAAGTGTGCAGATTTAACAAAAGATGATGAAGACTTTTACCGTAGGGTGATTGGAGGCATGGGCTGATTTTTGCAGGGGAGAGATACCTGCAAAAGCACACTCACTGCCTGTGAGCAGCCTAAGACTGCATTTGCCAAGGTCAGAGAAGGGGATGCTGCAGTAATCAAGAAATGATAAGCTAAGAGCCTGAATAAAAAATTCAGATGTGTGGATGGATAGGAAATGCCACACCAAATTTGCACAAAGCAAATGGAAGATGTAAGTGTAGCCTGTTTATAAGGAATAAGGACCAAATCGAAGAGAATGTTGGAGTCTGGTAAACTCACAATACCATTCATGGGCCTGGGTGTTGGATAGACTGGAGGTGTTGTTCTTGGTGGTCAAAAAAGCAATGCAAGGAAGAACTGGAGAAGAAAGTTAATTGTGCTTCCTTTAAACAAGGAGAGCTATAACACCTCGAGATAGCCTTCTAAACTATCTCAAAACAACAAATATGCTATATGTAACAAAGGAGTTAATTTTTAAGCAGAAAGAAATAAAATCAGAAGAATGCACTGTTGGATGCTTCATTTAGTGTGCAGCCATACATATCAGTAGAGGATCTGAACATGCAGTGACTTACTGCTGGCTGATGAACCTCTTCACTTGCTGGCGAGCATGTGGATAGTTAGGAGGTTGGAGAGCTTAAATCCTTTCTGCTCTCCATGCAGCTGAACTACTAAAAAAAAGGCCTTTAGAGTCTGCAAAATTAAAGACAATATTTTTAAAATGGTTTCACTGGAGCTGTTTAAGAACTGTGTAATTGTTATCAGCGTCAGATTGTTTAGCACAGCATTTACTGTCCAGCCTTTTATTTCTGAAACTTATCGTATTTTGGACTAATCATTCATCTTGATGTGTAGATACTTGCCTGAGATTATGAATGATGGCTTGACTAACCAGATAAACAATCCAGAAGTAGATGTGGACATTACAAGGCCAGACACCTACATTCGACAACAAATCATGGCCTTACGTGTCATGACTAACAAACTGAAGAACGCGTACAATGGAAATGACGTCAACTTCCAGGACACAAGTAAGAAACCTTTACCTGTCATTAAATAAGTATATTTTTGGAACACATTTATAATTCAGTTCTATTGCAATGTCTTTCCTTGGGTTTTGTGCTCTGTGCTGCGGACAACATAAAAACCAATCTTTTTCTGTCCCATGAAATTCCAGTTATATGTTTCTTTTGCTTCTCTTGCTTATCTTCATGTCAAATGCATCGAGACACTGAGGGCTTTCCATAGTGCCAGCAGTCTACTCCTTTTTCATAAAGGCATTTGAGCACCTAATTAAGCCACAGTGGCTTTCATTTGGATGCTTTACTGTTATTTCTTCTACATTTACTGAATGAGAGTTAGCATCACCAACACTTTCCCATTCCCAAGGTGCTCATCCCCACCAGGGTGCTGGGCGGAACGGGACCAGAGAAAAGGGACGAACGCTGTAACCTGTGGCCCTCATGTTTTTTTCCCTTGCTCCCTTGTGACAGGTGATGAAACCAGCGGCTCGGGCAGTGGAAGCGGCTGTACAGATGACATCTGTCCCACTGAGTTTGATTTCATCACCACCGAAGCGCCACCAGTCGACTCTGACAGGAGGGAGGTGGAGGCTTCAGCCACACAGCCTGACCGGTCACTGCATACGTTGCTTGTCGTCTTCATCAGTCTCTTACTGCAGAGACAGTGGAGATAATCCTGGATCTGGTCAGAGAAACTGTGTTTTAGCTACAGAAGCAACCAACTTGCTTCTTTTCTTATACTCTTGGACAATGGACCATGCCACAAACACTTGCAGTTTTCTATGAGAAGAGAGCAGTACTGCAACCTGCTTCCCTTTTTTGTTTTCCCAAAGAGTACCAGGTGCCAGACTGAACTGCTTCCTTTTTTCAGATATCTCTGAAGACGATACCCACTCTTGAGAGAATTCTTTCTCAAACCTTTATTACAGGAGACTTTCTGAGCTTCATTTCCTTTTATGCTGCAAAAGTAAAAGGATCTTACAGTGTGTGTTTTCCTTAACGAGAAAAAAGAAGGGGGGAGAAACCAAGAAAACAGTTTTCTTTCTGAATCAGGCCTGACTCAAGGCTGCTGCATTTCAACAGAATATCAACGAAACAAAAAAAGACAAGAAAGGAACAACAAAAAAAATGCAACCGTTCTTCACTGACAGCCAGGTTTCCTTTAGGAACTGTGTAGGATGATTCAGGTCATCAGCATGATCATTGCTATAGGGAGGAAGTCTGGATTTTTTTTTCCAACACAAAAGTATGTCTCAACAGTGAATGTCACGCACTCCATCTGCCAACCACATCAGATTGGTATGAAAGCAGAGAAGCTGAAAAATAAGTTTATCTTTTAGTATGTTAGTAACTCCACTAGCTTCAGAATATCATGTTACAGTCGTTTAGGATTTAAATCTTAATGGCCATTAAAAAAATGAGTAGTGGCATGATTTCACCTTGCTTCTTTTAGTATTTATCCATGTTATACAATTGGCACAGATTTCCACTTAGCTCACCATCAGCCGTGGTGGTAATGCTAAACAACGTTCCTGACAAATCTCCCCTCAAGGGTTTGGACAGAAAATAATCTCTTGTGATATAATCTCTTTCCTTTTGTCACTGTTCTGACATCGATTAGGACTTTCTGCTACTATGTTCATTATCCTACCAAGACGGCAATTCTCTAATGGACTAACAGCGACCGGATCAATAGTGTGTTTCACATCTAACTACATCTTTCATATCAGTTAATTTCAGTATCACAAGGATTTCTTCTACAAAATTTCAGAACAAACAAATATATAGTACTGACATGGAGATTTCTTTCACTTTTTTAGTCTTAGTACGATCATCTATTTTTATATATAAATATATATAAATCACAGATTTTAACTTCTTAATTACAAGCTCAGGGTTGACACTTCTTTGTAAGAAAAAAAAATGTTTGGTCAACCAGCTCTTCTTGTTTTGTGCTGCTCTGAAAAGTAACCCTTTAATGACTGGTGAGCACAAAAATCAAAGAAGAGAATTTTTTACATATCCAGTTGTCCATTTCTTAACAGGTTTGCAGGATGGGGGAGACAACCTCTCTCATATGCCTGTATTTGTGGGAGGCACGTGAGTTTGTGTGATAGGCCTAGAGAAGGACACGGATGTTATTTGTGATGGCAATTGTACTCTCAGATTCTTCAAGGATACATTGCTTTAATAACCATTGCCTAAATGACCATGGTCCTGGATAGAGTCTCCCTAATTTGCATCTGGTCATAAGACCCAAGATGGAAGCTGTTAAATCCTGGACAAATGAGCATCAACAATTAGACAACAAAACCTTCCCTCTTCCATCAGCCACAGACAAAGGGCTTCCGGGACAATTCTGTGTGGTGTTGAAATGATTCGCTGGAAAATTATTTCCTGAATCTGTGGGTGACTCTGGAAATGGTATAGACAAATTGTGGAAACACTGTAAAGCCAGCCAACCACATTACAATTTAACAGCAGAGCAGGTAGATCATATCCATTGCAATCTCTTTTTCTTGTCAAATTATAATTAGCTATCGATTTAGGCATCAAACTAAAGTAGAAAACACACAGCACGTTAGGATAAAGTATTCTTAGGCAGTTTTACCAAAAAGTACTTACAAACTATCTATATAGTATGTCTAATAACAAAAGGCAGGGGTATTGGACCACTTGTATTCCATTCTTTTGTTCCCCATTTTTTTGTTTACTTCAAAGTATAATGATCTACACTTCTGGGCTCAGCCTAGTGTGCAGGAGTCGCTGGTTAGGTTTTCAGATCATACACGTCTTACACCAGCCATAGCAGTGCATCCTGCTGCTCTGATGGTTCACCCCAGAGCAGATCTTGTAATTCAGCATTTAATGCCTTGAGGATGTTAAACAGCACAGTTCAAGCCAATTGTCACAGGCTTTTTCGTTGGCCCTGGTACAACAGGTACCAAGGAGAGGATCTTTTCTTGGATTTTTTTCTTCCTGATCTCGTATACTCAAGAGCCCTGTAAAACTCTCCCTGCTCCATCTCTTTCTACCCATATAAACACCCTTTCTATGCTCCTCCTCCTCCTCCTCAGCAACCTTATTTCAGGACAAGTCAAGTGTCATTTTGATTTATCCCGTTGTGCATTTTTTCAGTGGTAACTGATACTATTTCCACCTGATTATTCTGGGTCTGAAAGCTTATTGACAGGTAATGAAGTCCAAGTCCTCTGAGGTAGGTCCCCTGTTGTACCTGCTCCGCAGTGCTGGTTAAGGAGTTGATGGACTCCTAGGGTGTTTGTGTAGCCTCAGCCCACATTTAGGTGATCTGATGACTGTTTTCAGCTGGTGCAGCTGAACTGGGTGTCCAGGGTGCTCTCAGCTGTATGTAGACCTCCATGGACTCATAGGCAAGGAGTAAGTGGGATGCCTAAGAACCAGGGGGGTTGCTAAAGGCTGTTCTCATTGGGGAAGCTTGGAGGAGGGGCCCTGCTCTGCTCAGACTGGATCTTACAAACTGCTCGTGAAACAACAAAACAGACTAATCTTTGCCAAAATACAAGTGTCTTGTGCGAGTTCTGCCAGAAATTTATGTCTTCCATATTATTTCTCCTCTTATTTTCCTACTATGCATGGTGATACCTTGTCAGGAGATGGAGATGCCTTTGCATGAGGGATTAGGCATACATTTCTTTAATAGTCCCTAAAGGTTGAATAGTCTCTTCATACACTGCATTTTACTGAGATTAAGAGAGCTATTAAATCTACAGAGCAAATTAAATTGGGAATGAAGGAAAGAAAAGAAAGACCATCCGTGTTCATAAATGCGAGAATCTACATAATTTCCAATGCTTCTATTTGCACATACTTTACATCCAATAACTCTTCTTCTAAGGTAATTTTTTTGTGTGCCACAATTTAAATATTTCTCTTCTGTTAGCAGCTGGTAAAGTAAGAAATGATAAAGAAGACAATTACCTGTTCAAGAAAGAGGACCTAAGTCCTAAGGAAAAAATCCTTTGATTGTGTAAACCCTTCGTGCTCTGCAATCCAGAAGTTCTTGCCATTTTATGTCCTTTTACAGGGGAGGCTCTTAAAAAATTAGACACAATGAATAACATAACCAGTGCTGTAGAGCCCTGTGAGGTTTTCCATTTTAATATTAATTAAATTGATTTTACATTGTCCCCAGATTTTTAGCAGTCACTGTACTGCAGATTTTTCTAATGATGACTCAGTACTCACTACCATAACCGCAGTGCAGACTACCTGAACTCTGGCTAAACTTAGGCATTTCAAAAAAGACAATCAGAAAGAATTGAGACAAGAGGGTAGAGATTTCTTGCTGAAGAGGAAGAGCAGAGGAACCTGTGCCTCGGGGTTCTGGTAAGGGCTGCTCAGTCCCAATTCCCTGAGAGGCACAGCAGAGCTCTGTCGGTAGAAAGCTCCCAAAATATGAGTCTCACTCATAGAAATCCCCCCAGTTCTGCATGACTTTTAGGATGGACGACTACAGCTGTGCATTCCTACAGCTGTGTGAACCAGTCTGAGCTCCTTCCATGAGAAATGGCTGTGAGCTTGAGCTGTTCCTGGGAGGTGGACTGCACATTTAGTGTCTCACCAGACAGCAGTTGCTGTCAGTTTACTAACCGACCCTGAATCATTATCAAATGTAACCATACTTATTCGCTAAGACTTTTCTATTATTTCAACATGAAAAATAAATTACAGCACTGATGCAAGCTGTGGGGTTTGTTTTTAATTTGTTTCCAAAGATTACCTATTAAAGCCGAATACAGAAACTTATAGAAAAAGAAACTGGCAAAATCAGGTCTCTACAGATTTCATTATGGAAACAAATGTCTGGACAGACTTCAGATATTAAGAAGAAATCCACATTTCAAAGACAAAAAAGCATTATTTGCTATATTTACTGTATTTATATATTAACTCATACATTTTCAAACCTGCTGGATGAATAGAGTTAACAGTGGAACATCACACAGGATTCCAAAAAATCCTAATTTCAAAGGGACATTCAACAGTCAAAGGCTAAGACTCAGCTGTGAAGCTGAGAATATGTTGTCAAAACACACAGCAATGCATACTTCCAAGAAAATTAGGGCAGGTGATGCACTGAATAGGGCAAAGTTTCCACTACAGCTACTCACATGGACTGTGAGGATCATATTAACATGTGTAATTATGAATCTTTTTTTGATAAAACAATGATAAAGACCGGAGTACCATGGTAACAGGGTACATGAAAAACACACAATATGATAGTAACCATTTTATTATCTGTTAAACAGCATAGGAGACCTAATGGAAAACCAAGAACTTTGATTTTTAAAATAAACTTCTAGCACCTAGCAAGAGAGATGGTCTCAAATTAATTCAGTGAGAACATTTCCCAAGAGTCTATCCTATTAAATCTGCTGGCCAATATAACCAATCACTTGACAGTAATTTGCCAACATAACATGAAGTGTTCACTTACAGTGCTTACTACTTTTTCTACTAAACTGACTACATAGTTTGCAATTCTGATTGTGCATCACACGCATTCGTATAACAAACTTGTGCATTTCACCTGGGTGAAGCCCTGTCCCCATGACAAAGCAAATGAGAGCTATGTCATTAACAAGGATTTTTACTACAATCAGGGAGAAAAAAATAAGCCTTTTCTTCT